CCCCAGCCTCTGACTCCCTTATCTGCGCTACTTCGCCAAACCTTATTCTATTGTAGCCGGCATTAAAGTCAATGGTGTCAGACGACCAGCATGAGTGGTAACATCACTCCCATGGGCCTAGCAATTTGTTGCTAGACCTGAGCACTATCACAGGCGAGGAAGTCACATGATCCCCTATAACCAGCTGCAATGAAGGAAGAAGTATTAGGGGAGTGCTGGTAAGGAGAGTATAACTGAATTGGGGGACTTTGCAGACACATTGTCACTTTGCCCTCCATGGCCAAGGTGACACTGAAGCTTTAAAATGCAAATATACAAGATGGTTATTAAATCGATTAAAGCAAATTCCTACTAATTCTTTCCTATTTTTGGTTTAGAGTGGTGAAGGGGTAGAACGTGTGTCAGTTAATAAAGGCTCCAAAGAGGTTCCCACTGCATTCCTTACTGGTATGTCCCTTTTAAAGTGGGTGCTGCAGTGATAGTGGATGGCGCCACTTCAAATCCAAGTAGTAAAGTATGCCTGATGAAGGGACCTTGAGTGGCCCCGAAACGTTGCTTTACGATGAGATGTGTGTACATCAATAAAATGAGCACTCGTTGAAGATTTTACTTTGGTGTGCTGGTGATATACATTACTAGTTAATAAAGGCTGACCATGTCCCTGTTGGGGAAATTGCCCCTTGCTTTCTGTCCTGGTGACCACTCAAAACGTTAGGGTGAATCTCCCCAACAAGGACACAGGGAGCAATTAATAAATGATAGAGGTTCTAATGTTTTCCCTCTGCATTCAAAAGTAAAAAAAAAAGAATTTTGCTGGATTTCCAGTTTAAGACTTAATTTGACAGTGATCATTAGGTGTGCAGTGTACAATACATAACTATCTGTGGTCATACAATGAGTCAATCCATTTGTGTATGTGATCATCATACAATTGTACGTTATACAAATCTGTGCAGATCAGCAGCAGATCTAATATAAAAGCCCAATTAAACTTTCAGTTCTACAGTCTAGATGCTTCAAAACAAAAGGTGTGCAAAGTCTTACAGTTCATTTTCATTAGAAAGCAGCCACAGCCTGAGTCGAAAACCTGCTCCCCTGCCATAGGATCCTTGCTCTCTGTGTGAAAGCAGAGGTCTGTCTGCAAAGGTCTAGATCTCCCCAATTAGCAGGGAGCGTGAGCTATGCTGAGCTATGGGCCTGACTCAGCAGGGGTGTGTTGGGCCTCTGCAGAAAAACCATTGCTTCCACCCACAGGGCCCTTCTCTACAGCATGTTGGCAGAGGAATGGGATTTCTGCTTAGGCCGTGGCTCCCAAAGTTCAGTTGGGCTTTAACGCGAAACTGTGACAAGTACTTGATATTCCTGTGTATAGGCAAGTTCAGTGACTTTCAAATATATAAAGTAAAGTATGAAATACAGCTGAACTGTAAGACTGAGGTTTTAATCTGAATTTCAGTTCCAAGCAGAAAACTCCTGCACGTATTTATGAACACATTTAGAACTTGGAAAATCATTTTAAACATATTTGTGCAAGCATATGGTGACTTTTATATTACAAAAGAAGTCTTTTCTTGCTGGGATCTGTGGCATTTATTTTTTGGCTTCTTTTCCAATAAAGAGATGTTTTGTATTCCCAGTTGATGTTGTGGAATACACTGGCAGCTACTGAGGTGTGAACTGGTGGTTGGAGACAGTGAAGTCTAAAACTTGAAGTGTGGTCGCCAAGGCAGCATACAAGCGAGATGTATTAAATTGAAGGCTATACACTGGGCTGCTCGTTGGACTTGACAGGGAGAAAGACTGAAATAAGAAAACAATATGCAATTATAAGATCAGATGTTGATGGAGAAAATAAATATACATTGTATTAATTTATACTAGAGGTAATAGATAACAGCAGGCTATACTTGGCAGACCAGGATTTCCTTTGCCCTACTACAGACCTAAGTGACTGGGAGACAATCCAGATCCATCCTTAAAGTGACACCAAACTCAGGAGTTAAACCTTAAAAATTATTTCAAGAACCTTAACTTTTAACAAAAACATATCTTATTTGTGTATCACTCAGCTGTAGATCTACAAATCATCTCTGAATTGGTGCTGACACTGTCCTCCCTTCTGGAGGGTGACTACTTTTGTTCCCCATGGTCACTGTGTGTGTTGTAAAGTAGTCCCCGCTCCAAGCTCACTCCTGTGATGGACTACAATCTCACTTTTTTTTTACTAAACTAAACGTGACACTGTAGTCCATCACAGGAGTGAGTTTGGAGCGGTGGCTACTTTACAACACACACAGGGACCATGAGGAACAAAAGTAGCTAACCCCCAGAAGGAAGAACAGTGTCAAAACCAATTCAGAGATGATTTGAGGATCTACAGCTGAGTGATACACAAATAAGATATGTTTTTGGTATTAGTTTGGGTACTTGAATGAATTTTTAAGATTTAACGTCTGAGTTTAGTATCACCCAGATAGGGTAACATAATGTAACTCTAATGGGAGCCAAATATCTGGCATCTGATGCCTCTATATTTCAAGGAGCATGGACATATAATTTTGAAGTACACACATGAAACTAAACTTCAAAACACATTATGAAGAACAAACTCACCAGTGCCACCAAATATACTTATTCATGTTGCACTTAAAAAACTATTTGAAGATACAAAAATTCAAGCTAACTGCATTTTGCATTGTATATAGTACAGGACAATGGTAATAAAATAAATGAATAAAACAGTGTATAGGTCTCTGTGGCTGGCATGAACCTCTAAACATACCTGTAAACATCGGTTCATTCTCTTGTCCCACAATCTCACAACACCATAGTAAGCAGACCCAGTGGCTATCATGTGATTGCCATCACTCTGCATGCAGTACAGGACACTGTCATGAGGCTCCTCCCATTCCTTCACACACCTCCTGAAAAATAAAGCTATGTTAAAGTATGGCAGTCATACAATGGAACTGGCACTATTCTGTTGCTAGCATAGCCAATACTAATGTAAGGATCTGTCATTTTGGTTAAAAGATGCCATGATTGGTAGTGCAATCAGTTGGAAAAACGGCATTATGGAAAAGTCTAGTATGCTAGATTATAAATCTTCAAAGCTGGAGCTCAGGCAGATATAAACAACACAAATTAATCCAGCTCTGTATATATCATTTCATTTTTTTTAATGCAAGTACCTGAATTTGACATGTCAGCCTCTTGCAATCTCCTGGAAAACTCAAATCAGGAGAGGGTGAAGCAACACAAGAGCTAAGTCTACTGCTCAAAAAAGACTTGATGACTAGACAGTGTCTTCTTCACTGTCTCGTCACAGGCTGGGGGAGGGACAAGACCTGTAAATCTTCTGCTCTGCTCCGGAACTCAGGGCAGAAATACAAAATCTTTTGGCGGTAAAAGAAACTATCTTATATCCATTTCATCTGTGTTTGCATAAAAGTTCAGCTTCAGATCAAAGCAGTTAGCAATCAATCAGCATTTACATTTTTTTTTTAATCTTAACTCCTTAAAGTATTAGTAGAGGCTGGGCATTCTCTGAATTAAGGTACAAAACATCCAGTGACTCCACAGCAGCCGCTTAGCTGATGGAGGCACCCGCTGCGGGGACCCACAAGAAAACGAGGATCTGAAGGATTAAAACAAAAAACGATTTCTACATAAATGCAGTCTACCAGTAATAAAAACAAATAAAAAATTAACGATTAATATCACTTTAAAGACAAGGAATGGATGAAACTTCTGATTGCTATGGACAGCACATAGAGTTCTTCTTTTAGACACTTAACCATGAACACCACTGCCAATTTTTTATATACTGCTGCATATTAATTTCATGTAAGCATAAGTAGAAAATTAATAGGGGAACAGTTGTCCCCATTGCAAGACTGCCCCTCACCTCTTATTCTTATAGGGTTTTAATCCTCCCCTATTCTGTCCAAAACTAATCAAAAAGGTTTGGCTGTACATACATTTGAACCTCTACCTAGTTTGAACATCACAGATGATGCTCAGATTGTCACTTTTTGCTATTATCAAGACATGTATGGCCACCCTTTAAATAGAAGTATAGAAGTAATAATGCGATAATAAATATATTTATGTGTGTGTATATGTGTGTGTGTGTGTGTATATATATATATATATATATAAATATATATATATATATTATAATATATGTGTGTGTGTGTGTGTGGTTACTTACTGTATTTATGACTATATTTCCCACATTCTTAGGTCATGAACAGCTGAGCAACAGGAAATCCCTAAGTAACGCTTTACACATGGATCAATAACATTCAACTGCACAATGAAATTCACTTCCTCTGTGGTATCAGCAGCCAGTGTAGTGTAGGGAAGCCTACACCGTAGCTATAACCTTACTGCTTTAACTTCTCAATCTGGTGTGATCCTTCCAAATAGCAAATATTTAATTTCACCCATAACAATAGGGAAAGTAGTGTTCTGCTTTTGTGAACTATTGTACACGTCCCGCTTAAAGAATAACTAGAGGCAAAAGTTTTGTCTTGAGATTTGTATAAAGTAGTTAGAGCTTGGAATCACTATCAGGTTTTTATTGCTGCCTGAATCCCATTAGGCAGGTTCAATCTTTCTAATTGTCCTGATAAAAAATATCAACAGGAATAAAAGTGATGTGTAAATCCAAAATTTAAGTTGCCACCAAAACAGGAATAGAGTGGAAATTGTCCAATGGGAACACTTCTTTCCGTATAAAAGAAAAATTGTGTGCGAACTGTCTTACAGATGAAGGCGGTTCAAGGGTTAACCAATGGTGGGAACAAACCACAATGTTATTTAAAACATTTTTTTTTTCCTGTATGTTGCATTTTCTTGAAAGCCGTTGCACAATTCTGTCTTGGATCGACAGTGAGTGAATCTGTGACGGTTTTCAGCAGGATTAGGATTTCGTTTGAAAAATACTTTTAATTTAAGCAAAGAGGCTCTTAAGAACGTGGTTTGTGATTTGCTTAATCTTCCTTTTAAATATATCCTTTTTGGGTATAGAATCCAATTTCAAAGATATTGGAATCTATCAAGGAGAAGCCGTTCTATGCCGGTTGCAGTTACTTTTGTTATAGTAGCTAGTGCACGTTTAATTGCACTTGGTTCTTACTGATCATTTAGGAGATTTTACCCACCATGAGGGGTTGTATTGAAGGGTCAATCTAATTCAGCAGTGATTGTAATTTAAAGTTTTTGCTAGTTCGTGTTGAAACAAACAGCAAGTTTACTCACATGACCTCCTGGTCAGTCCTTCGACTTTCCGCTCATATCTTTTGGTTTTCCTCGGTTGGTGGGGTATCCAGGTGTTAATGATCCAGACAGACACTAGTGCTGTTATATAAATCCACAGGTTGCTTTTTGTCCAAAAAGAAAAAACAAAACAAAAAAAAATTTTTTTTTTTGGCTGTACAGCAGGCGATCTCTGGGTCATCCAACTGGTCTTTGAGAGCAGCGTCTACGCGTTTCGCACCTCCTGTCTGGGGCTTCGTCTGGATCATTAACACCTGGATACCCCACCAACCAAGGAAAACTAAAAGATATCCAGTGACTCTCTTTTTTAAAACCTACAAACATCTTCACTCGGGGGAAACGCATGAGCGGAAAGTCGAGTTAACTAAGTATACAATTCACTCAAATCTATGATTTTTTTTTACCAAAGGAGATACCCCCTTAAAATGTGGTATTTATATCATCATTTAGGCTTTATTTTTCACCTTTGTTTTTTTCTAGTGAAAAAAGGCACATGGGTGCAGTCATTTGTACCCATAACATTAAAAACCAGCCAAGGCCTAAAAACTTATTTTTAATTTGGCCCCATTCTTGCCTTCAGCATTGCATTCTTCTCTGTATCCTCCTTTGGATAAACTTATATTCCAGCAATGTGTTCTTACATACATAATTGCCTCAAATTGGTAGTTATGTACACTTGCACACTGCCACAGGTGGACAGGCTGCAAATACCGACTGCCACAGCCATGTGCTGATTACCTAAAAACATATTTTTGGGTGAATTGACTGTTTTTCATGTGATATTTATCTAAGTTTTTACACTTTCTGCATTAATTATCTCACATTTGTTAATTTGGTTTAAATGAATTGACCCTTTTCTTACCACATGTGACCCTATTATCTCATACGATTACAATGTTTAGTCAATTGAGACTACAGATGGCAAAAAATTAAAAACTGGCAGCAGTTTTAACCCCTTCATTTTTTATCCAAGATTAAAAAGAAAGCTTTTGGCTTTAAATTTACTTTAATCAGAAATAATTTATTTGCTTCTCACCCCTACATGTTACCACAGCCTTGTAACCAACAAAGGTTGCAATGTTTTGCCTCATCTGAAGAGGCAAAATAGCAGGTTTTACTTGCAAGTGGCAAGGTGTGCAAAAGTGAAATGTGGAACTGAGGCTCCCAGTTGTTATTATCAAAGTAACCTCCAGAATGGGAGGGAAGGTTTTGTTCTCTTCTAATATTCAAGGCCTCCGGAACACTAAGCTCTGGAGTGCTCTGTCTGTTTTGTGCTCTTTTGATAGGTAACTTCCTACACATATTAGAGATAGATAACTGTAACCAAATATAACCTTTTCATAAGAACCCAGCAAGCTAAATATCCTGTTTCCTAAAGAATACTCAGGAATGCAGCAATAGAATGGATTAAAGTCTATATCAAAACATAAAAAATATGCAGTACTTTTCCCATGCATATTTCTCCATGTTTTATCCCTCCAAAGACCCAGAATGCACAGAAAATAATATGATCTCACTGTAAAATCTTTTATACTGCCTGGTTATACTGCTGCCTACTAAAAATTAGTGCAGAGGCAAAGCAAGTAACTCAATGGATTAAAAAAAAAAAAGACTTCACAGCACATACAAAAATCTTAGTCTCGTTCTTGCCCATTGAGAGACACTGGCATTTAGAAAACAGCCAGGATGTCTAAAAACAGTCCAACTGTGGGGTGGGCAACAGTCACTGACAGGTCCCATCCCATAAGGGACTGGGAACTATCTGCAACTCAGAATTACTTGAATGAGATGAGGATAATATGGGGGAAATGCCAACAGCCAAGACAAGGGAAAAAGAGGATCAACCTGATGCTCAAGACCAGAATAGATTAGATCACTGCCCAAAGGGAATGATTCCACTCAAAAGAACACTGTGCCTGAACCAGTGAGAGGCTGTGAAACTAAACAAACATGCCAGAACTGGTGTAATAAAATAACTACTTGATAAGAAATAAATAGACCAACAATGTGATGTGGTCAACAGAACAAAAAACCGCTGCAGCAAGTCTCCAGGAGAACAGGTATCCCAGAGGGAACTTTGCATTAAAAACAGGTCAACAGCTTTACACTCCCAACCATTAGGTTTCAAGGAAAGAAGGTTCCATGATAAGAATTATATTGGCAGAGAACTCAAGGGTACCAACTCTGAAATCAGAGTGACTGAATGAAGGGGGTAGGGTGCACGAGAGGTACCCCTATAAAAGGTAGGCAGGGGTGACTGGTACAATGTGACACCAAAAAAAAGAGGATGGGCAAAACCAACCAGAAGCATCACTGGGGTCTGACAGGGGAAATCTGCAGGACCTACCCAACACTAAGCACAGAACATGGTTCTAAGAATCACCTCACCTGTGCTGGTCTAGCAAAACATCCATAGCCATGGAGCAAGAGGCAAGAAACTAATCCACACCACTAAGAGCATGACCAAGGAAGGAACTTACGTAAGAATCTGCGGATCATTCACAAAAGGTGGACCCCTCTTCAGATGATCAGATCTCACGAAGGCCCCTGGATGTACTCTATCCCCAACAAGAGGTACTGTAGCTTCAGCAGGATTCCAGCATGTCCCACCTGCTGACAATACAAGACAGCCCAGTGCAAG